CTCCGACACAGAGCCTTCATCAGAGCCTTCCCCAGACTCCAGGACTGGCCCATCTTCCTCCCCAACCTCCGCACTGTCCAAATCTACTGCCGCTGGTGGGCCACAACACATGCATCGTGAGAGCCACAATCAGAGCGCTTGGAAGCTCCCAACTCAACCCAACTTCTGTGAAGATTCTCAGTCATTCAAGTCGTGGTTGTCCCAAAGGTGTTTTTTCAAAAGGCAACTGCTTTTTTTCCCCCCTTTGAGAATGTTTTGCTTCTCATTCTGGAAGCTTCTTCAGATCTCCAGAAGTTAAATTCTTCAGATTTTCAGAATGGAAGAACTGAAGTTTTTCAGAACTGAAGGAGCTTCTGAGGAGAGAAGCAAAACGTTCTCAAAGAAGAAAAAAGTCCAGTTGCCTTTTGAAAAAGCACCTATGGGACAACCATTTTCAACTCTTAACTTATCTCTGCTGGTAGTTATTTCTCTGGCCGATATTATGCTTTGTTTTTTGCTCTTCTTGTTTGCTTCCCCTCCCCCACTCCTAAATCCTTGAAAGGTTATGGATTTGTTTCTCTGCCACCCTTCCTCTCAAACAAACCCAGAGGGCGAGTTGTGCCAATGGGAACAGGAAACGTCTTCCCAAATCTTTGTGTCAAAACGCTTTCGTTCACATGCATTTCCCCTTCCTCCTTGGCCTCGTGATGGCCCTTCGGTTTCAAGGGCTCCGGAGAGTTCTGCTTGTGCAATCCTTGATGTGCACATCACCCCTCACCCCAGCTGTGGTTGTGCCAATTGTCTGTGTGCGACCGTGTCTTACGCAGAGGATGACATTCAGCGTGCCGCGGCAGAGGTGGTGTGGCGCATTGGCAATTCTTTCTCCTGAAATGACTGTTTTGCGAGAAAACCAAAAAGGACTTGTGGGAAACGGACCACGGCTTTCTGCTGGTGGCTTCCAGCTTCTCTTTTTAGTATCAGACATCCAGCAAAGAGTAGAGTTGCAAGGCCACCAACCCAACCTGGATGAAAGGGCATGTCACTGCGTTCTGCAGCTATCAATCTCTTTATTACAGATGTCAAAGAAACCACCTTATCTAAGTGATAATTTAAGAGCTGACCAGCTGATGCAATTAAGGGAATGAGTCAGCAGGGTCTTTGGCTGTTATCCCTTTAAGAGCCTCTGTAATAAGAGGAGGCCCTGCTAGAGTGTTCAAAATTCTTCTCTGCTGTAATTGCTGTTTGTTTAGATACTGCTTGTAGCATGTGTATGTATAGTGTTCCTATATTCCTATTGTAGATAAAAACCACTATTTCTTACTAACCACTGTACTTGCTCCTGGGTTGGTACTTGTGATAGACCTGTGCTCTAACACAGTGATGGCGAACCGTTTTGTCACCGGGTGCTGAAAAGGGAGCATGCACACACACGGGGGCCACCGAGTGCTGAAAAGGGAGTAATTTGCGGCTCATCTGGGTCATAACCAGGGGGAGGAGCTGTCCAGGGGGCATGCACACGCCAGAAAATGAACTTCCAGTTTCCGGTTTCCGGCACATGCATGCATGCGGCCAGCAAGTCTTCCAGTTACTGCCATGCATACACACGCATGCTCACGCCAGAAGACCAGCTCTTCTGGTTTCCAGCATTGCCGCATGCAGAAAGGCCAGCTGGTCATTGAGTGTGCATGGGTTCCAGAAACCCAGAAGAGGAACAGACAAGACACACATGTTAGGTGACATGGCTCCGTGTGCCACCTTGGGCACACACGCCATAGGTTTGCCATCACAGCTCTAATAGATACTCTAATGGACAAAGAAACATTCTGGTAAAAAATAATTGTGCCAAGATACAGAATCTTTTAGGGAAGGAATACATCCTATCACAGACACTTCATTTCAAGTAAATGGAAGACCATTATGCCATAGATATATTGACATGCTCCTTTAGTTTAATGGGCATCTTTTAATGGAACCTATGGGAAGCTTTTTCTCTCTCTCTCTCTTTCTTTGACTGAAAAACTTCCATGGCATGAAGAAGTTGAAGTCCACCTATCTAGAAATGGCCGAGGGCTTTAATGCCAGCCTCCTTTAAGTGATGCTGGCTTGGATTTTCCAAACATGAGCTTGTTGATGGCTAAATGATGTGTATGCCGCCACCAACAGAAATGGTTTGAGGGTGTGGAAGGCCTCGGTCACTGCCAGTTCCAGGGACTCGGGCTGCCAAGTTACTACCTATTTGGGCAAATTGGTCCGAACCAGTAGGAACCCACATCTGGCTGGTAGTAACAAAATGTGAAACCCACCACTGTTTTGGACTCATGCTGGAGCCCATCCTCAGTCAACTTCTCTCTCGCTAGAACTTCTCTTTCACACATTCTGAGAGAGAGAGAAGTTCCCCAAGGATGGGGCCAAAAACTTGGAAGACTAAATCCCTGGTCCCAACAGTGGTGGGATATGACCGGTACACCCCGGTATGGGGGTACCAGTGCCTGCTGGGAACACCAGGTACCGTTCCGGTGCACCAGGTACCAGGTACAATGCTCCAGAGAGTCCACCCGCCTGCCCTTCCTTACCTGTATTTAAGCCGATCGGGGCTTACACACATGCGCACAGAACATACGGCGCCTGCATGACGCTCCGCCAAGCAGCTGGAGCGCCGCAGGCAGTAAGTACGCATGTGCATGCTGTGCGCGACTATGAGTTGGACACCCGGCCCTGTTGCACCATACCAGTTGCAACAGGATCCGGAACCCACCACTGGATTATTGCAATGCGTGGGGCTACCCTTGAAAAGCGTTCGGAGACTGCAGTTAGTTCAGAATGCGGCCGCGCGAGCGATATTGGGTGTGCCGAGGTACACCCACGTTACACCTGTCCTCCGTGAGCTGCACTGGCTACCAATTGGTCTCGGGGCTCAATTCAAGGTGTTGGCTATTACCTTTAAAGCCCTACATGGCTTAGGGCCAGCGTACCTTCGAGACCGCCTGCTGTCACATACCTCCCAGCGGCCAGTAAGATCCCACAGATTGGGCCTCCTTCAGATGCCGTCAGCCAAACAGTGTCAGCTGGCGGGCCCTCGGAGGAGAGCCTTCTCTGTGGCTGCTCCGACTCTCTGGAACCAGCTACCCCCAGAGATCCGGACCACACCCACTCTCATGGCCTTCAGGAAAGCTGTAAAAACTTGGCTGTTTCGGCCGGCTTGGGGCTGTTGACCTCACTGTTGAGGTCCAGCCCCGATTAGAATGAATGTATGAGGGTGTTGCTGTTTTTAAACTGTTTTCTTTTATCGTTATGTGTTCTTTTTTTTTCCTTATATTTTTTGTAAGCCGCCCGGAGTCCTTCGGGATTGGGCGGCATATAAATATATTTAATAAATAATAAATAATAAATAATAAATAAATAAATAGACATTATCCAGGGACACCTAGACTGTATTTCCCTCCTTGAGAGAAGGATGTGTTTCTTGACTGCCATCTAGTGTTCTGAGCCGGAACCCACAACTCATGTCTCTCTCTCTTTGCTTTTCTGCAGGCAGAAAGCTTTGGCATCCACCGGAGGTCGGAGTGTGCAAGCAGCTTGCGACTGGTGCGTATGAATTCACGTACTATGGAATCTCGAACACGGCCAGCATTGTGGGAAATAAAAAATTCCCCCCTTGTCCCTGGAAGAACCGGGGATTAAATTGGTGGCTTTGTGTGTAGGCAGGCATGGTCCTCTGGTGTTGATCTCTGTGACTACATCCAAAGCCATTATGATCTCTTGGGCATCCCACCGATGAAAATAAGAGCCGGTTTTATAACTTCACCAAGGTTCGAGCTGTCCAATTCACATCGGCTACTTACATTAGATATTATTATTATTTATACTATGCAGCATCTCCTGGCTTGGTCTTTAGAGTCAAAGCTGCCTTTCTTGATTATAGGGGTATTAAACAAAAACCTAATATGTAAATAAAATATGCAGGTAGTCCTCGACTTACGACAGTCCATTTAGTGACTGCTCAAAGTTACAACGGCATCCCTACGTGATCAACATTTAGATGATCGGCAACTGACTCGTATTTACGGCGCTTGCTGTGTCCCGAGGTCATGTGATTTCCCCCTCTTGCGACCTTCTGGTTAGCAAAGTCAACGGGGAACCCAGATTTACATAACAACGAGTTGACTATTTAAGTAAATGCAATGATTCATTTAACAACCGTGGGAGGGAAAAGTCGCAAAATGGGGCAAACTCACATCAACATAAACCTTGGGCTCAATCGTGGTCATAACACGAGGACTAGTTGTCTATGAGAAAAAGGGTTCTCCCAGAGCAGTGTTTTTTTTTTTCAAATTTGGCAACCAGAATGGCAAGGACCCTGACTGGAACATTTTAAGAAGTTTGGACTCCCAGAATTCCCTAGTCATGAGGTGACCACACTTGCCACCTCCTGCACCTCAAAAATAATAAGACCTCCCTGAAAATAAGGCCTAGTACTTATTTTGGGGAGGGGTCAAAAGAAAATAAGACCCTGTCTTAATTTCGGGGAAATACGGTAGTAGCATAAGGAATTCTATTGTGTATTAATCTGGATTTGTTCCATGGACCTGAAAGGACCATCCGTCCCCTCTGTTCTTCCTTACAGGCTCTTTTCCCACGTGTGTGACCCCTTCCTCGATGACCCTCTTCCTCGGGAATACGTCCTCTACCTACGTCCCACTGGCCCCTTAGCGCGGAAGCTGACCGACTTCTGGCAGCAGTCGAAGCAGTTGTGTGGGAAAAACAAGGCCCACAACATCTTCCCCCACATCACACTCTGCCAGTTCTTTATGGTGAGTCTGGACCGGAGTTCCTCCTGAATTGGCGACGCGGCTTTGAGGTCTGCATCTCACCTTCTTATGGGATGTCTTGCAGTGTGAAGACAGCAAGGTGGATGCCCTCTGTGAAGCCCTTCAGGCAACAGTGACCAGGTGGAGGTGCAAATTCCCTCTCCCGTTGCCTCTGGAACTCTATACCTCATCAAACTTCATCGGTCTCTTTGTTAAGGAGGACTATGCGGAGATCCTGAAGAAATTTGGCTCGGACTTTGCGGCGGAAGCCACTGCTAAAGCTGGTGAGCAGGAATAACAGGACGATTCTTCCCGTTTAAATCCTGCTTAAATGGTCTGTACTGGTCCCTTTGAAATGGCTTTCCACGATCTCAGGTAGACAGGCTGTCCTCAAATCCAGTTCACTTTTGACGAGGGATCTCGAAGAACCCAAGGAAGGGTTTGCCTTGAAGAGATTCCAGAAACAGAAGAGCAGAGTTGGAAGGGACCTTGGAGGTCTTTTAGTCCAACCCTCTGCTCAGGCAGGAGACCTTATACCACGAGCTGCGGTGGCGCAGTGGTGAGAGGGCAGTACTGCAGGCTACTTCTGCTGACTGCTGGCTGCCTGCAATTTGGCAGATCGAATCTCACCAGGCTCAAGGTTGACTCAGCCTTCCATCCCTCCGAGGTGGGTAAAATGAGGACCCGGATTGCTGGGGGAAATTTGCTGATTCTGTAAACCGCTTAGAGAGGGCTGTGAAGCGGTATATACGTCTAAATGCTATTGCTATTTCTGACGAATGGTTTTCTTCTTTAAAATCTCCAAGGCACGTGAGGTTCTCCAAAGCCCCTGAGGGCAGGACAAGAAGCAATGGGTGGAGACTAATCAAAGGAGAGAAGCAACTTAGAACTGAGGAGAAACTTCCTGACAGTGAGAACAATGAATCAGCGGAACAGAAGTTGCCTCCAGAAGTTGTGAATGCCCAAACACTGGAAGCCTTT